TTTATATATGATCCTGATATAAAGAAAAGAGTAGTTGATTCAGACGTTCATTTTCTTTTTGAAGTTGAATAATTTGTTAAGCTTGCTAAGTAATAATATCCTAAGGATTAGACTCTTGTTCTGGTTCTTTTCATTTTTGTGAACTAGTAGAAGAGTTCATTTGCTCCTGATAATATTTATTACAGAGGCCTTGATTAGACTTCAGCTCAGACACATGTTTAGCAAATAAGCATTCTAAGCATAAAGCTACTTTGCCTTTAAAATTAGTATGCAAATTAGCAATGGCTTGCTAGTGATCAAAATCAGCATGTGATATATTAAAGGACTCAGCCAAGATTTGATTTAATTGTTATTCTTCTTCAGTAGTTAATTGTACTTCACCAACATGAAAAAGAAGAGTTAATTTCTCATTTGTAAATTCTTTATTATATCTGTCTGTTTTTTGCTTTTCTTCTGTTTGAGCAATACTTTGAGATGTGATATCTAGTAAAGTTTGAGCTAGGTGATAAATACTATTCTGCTTCATGTTATAATAACTTTTAGCACTTTTGTTAGACTTAGTATAGTGTTTAATTCTAGTCTACAGATCATAGTTGGAGTTATATTTAATATCTTCATTAGCTTTATAAGCATATATATGTTCAAAGCTACAAAACCAAGTTCTATTTGGTAGGTTATGCATGTTGTTTCTAGGATTTTCCTCCTTATATACAGTCCATTTAACCAAGGTTCCTTTTCCTAATCCATGTTCATAATAATAATGGCTTCTAGGATCTTTTTGATTTATTGTAATAAAACACAAGCAAATTTGCTTGCGTTTTTACACTTTTTTGGCTCTGATTTACTTTTATAAAAAAACAAAATAATTAAATAAAACTTTGTACAATTATATTTGAAAATAAGAATTGCTTTTTTGCAGTATTTATTTTTAGATTATAAGAAAAAAATTTTAGGTTACTTATAAACCTAAAATATACAATTTTAAAAATAATTTATAAAAAAAAATTTTTTAGTTTATCTATAACAAACTTTTTAAATATTAATTTAGATTTATAGTTTCTAATACAACTTTATAGTTTGAATTAAGGATTATAATTTTAAGAGTATTTCTATTTATACACTACAGTCAGTGATTTTTCCATATATAGTATTTCCAAATATAGTAATAATCATCACTGTGCAATCGTATAGAAATTTTCTAGAACTAATAAACGAAATTAAGTCTGATTGGCTAAAAATTTTCTTATATAAATGTAATATTCGAAAAAAGAATGTATTACTTTCATTTCCAAATTTTTAATAGCAAAAATACCTCTAATTTCAAACCTCTATGAATAGGAATATGAGGATTTTCTTCTGGAGGCATTGTTGCAGAACACAAAAGCAGAAAATTGTATAGTGAAACCTCCATAAGTGCACACTCTTGGGACCGAACTTTACTGGTTTGCACTTAGAGAACAATAAGAAAAGTGCATTTATAGGGTCATGTATATATTTAGACTCGAATTTAAGCATGCATTTAGAAAGTATGTATGCTTATAGAGGGTGTATTTAAGAAGATTTTATTGTATTGTAGAGTAAGTTTTAAACAGCAGTTTTTATCTTGCTTTGCCCTTTTAATAGCTATATAATTTTGTAGTTTGATCTGAAAAAATGCAATTATTTTCGAAAATATTAAGTGATCCAGTTTACGATCTTATCAGGACTCTCTTTATAGCTTGGGAATAAACGTATTTCGAACTTATTACTTGAGTCAAAAGTTGACGGTATATTCTAACTTGAAAGTATAATCATTATTGTGGCTGAAGCTTGAAACGGCTGAAGCTTGAAATTTTAAATACTTTAATATGAAATTTTCAAAGAATTTTGGAGTGCATTTATTTAGCTTTTTTTCTTTATAGTTAGCTTAGAATTTGGGTTAGTTTTGATAATTAAAATATATAAGTGGAGTTTGATATGGTTTGTATTTTTAAATCGAGGTTCCTAATTTCAAGCTTCAGCCATTTCAAGCTTCAGCCGTGACAATCATTAATAAAGTTAATGCACCACTACAATATACAAATATCAGATATCAGGTAAAATTGTATGTACTATTGTAATACAGTAATATGTAATAATTGAATTACAAAAAATTTAATATTTAGGAAACGGCAACATTAGAAAACAATTTTATATGTTCGAATAGTTTTGGAACTGTTGAAGACAAAGATAAATTGTTGATTCCTAAAGTTCGCTAAAGGTAATAATTGCTAGTATAATTTTGGACAGTTGCAAAATATTAAGATTAACAATAAATTGCTAATTTTTTGGCTCTATCTCATTTTCAAGCCCTTGGTTATTATGCAGATCTCTGATACTTTGCAAGATCTTTTGCAGTTGACTACGAGTTTTTTGCTGCAATCCACAATACTTTGAACGGTTTGAGATATTAATGGAATTTAACAATGAGTCAATAATTGTTAAAAGCTCTTTTTTTGTCATGTTTTCTTCATTCATTGCTAATGTTTCTTCTTGAGCTGTAACAGGTATTGACCGAGGTAAGGAACTTGGCTTGTTGTTTATGAAAGTTTCATTAATAAATGTTATTCGTCTTTCACATGCTAAATCACTAAAATTTTTCAATTTTTCGCTAAGTAGATGCTTCTCCCCGAGGCTTTTAAATGCACGATTGCTATCTTGGAGACTCAGAAATCTAGTCTTTCATAGTTGAATTCGAAATCGTTGTGATTCTAAGATATAATCTGAACGTGTTCGACCTCCTAATGATTCATTATCTGTATGCCCAATCATATTAAATAATGTGTGACGCAACTAATAATTATTTGAAATTAAATAAATATAGATACTCTTTGTTTAAGTACAAATATATAGTATCTACCTTAATAAACTTTGTACAATTATGCGCCGCTATTCTCCAATGTTTTTGCGAAGGTACGGGTGGAATTAAAGCTTTCAACGATTTATTGATTTCTTTAAGAATAGCATCAAGGTCTTGATGCTGATTATAATAACCTGATCGTGAAATAACTAAATATGAGTCTATATATCGTCTAATCTCAGGATTTAATCGCATCAATTGCTTCTCATAAGTTACTTCAATTAAACGATATATAGGATGTCTACGCCCAAACCATATCGGTGTAAACATATGTCAAGCAGCATTTACCAACAAAGGCCAATTGTTTCTGATTCCCATACGAAAGTCAATGATTGTTTGAAGGTAGATAAAAGTCTATAATAATTGTTAGCTAAGAACTTTAGATATATTTCAATTATTTATTAAAAATCTTACTTGTTCAAATTTCAGTTTATATATATAATCATTTTGCTTTTTTGCCTAATCTAGATAGCCGTCAATTGAAGGGTTTTCACTTGCAACTATGTATGGCCATAATAATTCACACGTCACAGCATGCTGATAAATATTGCAGATAGAGTTCCACAATTTGTGATGGTCCACGCATTTTTTAAAAAATTTAAGTTGGTTTTCGGTTCTGTATCCTTGAAAAATCACGAACTGTTTGATATCAATTTCCCTATATTAGACCAGAATGTCAGACCGTTGTAATTCTTTAATGAAAAGTATGATTTATCTTACTACATCAAAAAAAAAAAAATTATACCAATTTAATTCTACGAATGCTTTGAGCATATTCATTTCTTTATGCAAGGCCCCGGGAATCAGTATAAGCTATGCAATGTCCTTCTTAATCTTTTGAGCTAGATTATACGGAACGCCATCACAAACAACTGGTAACTATTTTCACATTCCTTGTTCTATTTTCACAATATCCTATATATATTCAAAAATTTTTCTAATATTATTTACTGAATTGGGATTAAGTTCTAATGGATCTGGTACATGCATTTCCGGAACGATTACATTATGTTCTGGTTCTGATCGTTACGTAATTCTAACGTGCTTGAAAAATGAACTCTTTTTTTCCTGAGCATATGTATGAGACCTTATTATGAGAGATTTTGATTGAAGCATATTATTAATTTCGTTAGCCGATTCTGCTTGTAAAGTAGCCAATGTATCCAATTTCTCATTACACTGAGGGCAATTACGTTTTTTATTGTCTATGTTAGTTGTGTTGCATTTTTTGCACTATTTAGATTGACTCCCGACACCTTTTTGATTTGTTATAGCTAGATCGATAGAATTTATTTGTTCATTTTTTTTTCATGATAAGGTCTTTTAAAATTGATGATAAGTATATATTTAATTCGAGTTCATGTTCTGCTCTCATTTCTGGTATAACATAATATAATTCTTTATATTGTTAATTTGTTAGTGAATTACAAAGCCAAGGAGTGGTCATGAACTGCATATAATTATTTTTATTCATGTTTAATGTGACAAAACTCGTAACTGTATGGTATATAACAGTGTTATATCCACGATTGAGATAATTATGTTGACCTTGTTGTTTATTGTCGAAGGCCAAAAACAATAGCCCTTTAAATAAAGGTTCATTTTCGACTGCTAAAGACTTTAGCCAATTAATGAATTTTGTATAACCCCCAGAACTAATTATATGATTGTCGATGTCAACAATTATTTTAGATCATGCTAACGAATATTTAATCCCTAATATGGCTAGATTTATTTCTGATACATAATATTTATATCTCGACCCATATACCACATCGATAGCAACTATTCTTTTAAAAACCTTTTCATTTGAGGTATAATTAGTATAATCATTATTATCATTATGAGTAAGGGTATTAATAAAGTTAACAATGATGGGGTTATGATTAGCTAACCAATTTTCAGGTATAAAATTTAATAAATTGTCAAGAGAAAATCATTGTTTATTTAAGATTAATGACTTGATATCATTATAAACATTCTGCTGTTCGTAGTTTGCAATTTGAATTATCAAGTCAATTCTTTTTTTTTGATTATTATAATGATTTTCCCATTTATGTTTTAATGCATTAGTTTGTTCAGATAGCTCTTGATTTATTTTATTTATTTCTTGAATTCGTCCTCAGCTTTCTATTACATAGTCATATGCATATTCTAATTGTTTTTTAAGGCTTCCTATCTCATTTATTTTCATGTCCAATTGCGCTTGAAGTAAATAGATATAACTTTCAGGAGTATGCAACATATTATCAAATACTTGTATGCCAATATCATGGGTTTCTTTATTAACCTTTACATTGATATCATTATCAACCTAAATGCCAATTTCACAAGTATATTTTTCAGCTTCTATTCTAGACACATGCATTGTACAAGTTCGTGAATAATTCGAATTTAAAAGTATTTGACACAAAAAATCAGAGATATATATATATATTTTTTTCCTCTTTGGCAACCTTGCCGGTGATTCTTTATTAAGATTATTATATAAAACTAGTTACATAATGTTGAGCTTAATATCTAGGTTCGACATCCTTCGGCTGTCTCTATGGATGCCCAAAAGTGGTCTGTCACACTAGGTAGAGGTTTATATTCTCTGCCTAGAAGGCTTTTACCAAGTTGCTTCGGAAGCCTTGTAGACCTCAAAGAGGTCTTGATTTAGTTTCGTTAAGTCAAGTTTACCTGAATACCCTTCTGCTATGCTATTATCTAATTCTAATTTATCTAATCCTAATTCTTTTTGGCTATCTAAAATACCTTTCTTTCGTAAAAATACTATACTATCTATTTCTAAGCTAATATTCTTCCTTTTCTTT